AAAAGACCATAGATTAAAAATAAGTAAGGCGTAACATATTTTTAATCTATGTTAAAGCATAACTATTTTTACATAATGAAATTTAGTAAATCAAATTATTATTTGTGGCTTTTATTTATTAAATCAATTAAGAACATAATCTCAAAACAAAATTTAATGACAAGAAAGATCGACGTTTCGGGTCCATCAGGGAACCATTCTCAAGATCAAGTAAATGGAAAAAACTAAAAACAAAAATACCAAGCAGTGACAGGAAGTAAGTAATTAATTTACATATCAATAGGGCCTACTGTGTGGGGCCACAGTGAAGCTTAGCAATAATTAGCCCTTCTTAGCAGATTAACTAGATAAACAGTTTGGCTTTGACTGAATCAGTTTGTTTGTTAAGTGTAGGTTTCGGTTCTTTGATCCAAAGCATTTGTTTAATTAAGCAATCAAACTCGGATTTGCACTTAGATAAAACCTTGAAATAATTAAGAGTTTCAGTAGCACTAATATAATGATCTTTTAAATGTTGTCCTATGTTGCCTTAACTGCGCATAATCATTTCTTATTTAAAATAGAATTATTTAATCAATCAGTAACTTTGTTTTTTTACATGAAATTAATTATTTTCTTTAAAAAGATGCTACCCAAGGCGAGACTTTTATTAATCCTTGCTTGACGAACTCGCTGACTGTTGTACATTTTAGTGTACTGTATATATGTATTCCTACTAAAAAGTTTCTAATACTAATTTAAAAGCATCTTTTTTAACGCATGCAATGTTACTATTTTTTAAAAGTTGCTTTGTAAGTTACAGTATTCTAACCATTTATTGCCAATATTATTATTATTATTTAATTATTATTATTATTATTGTCATTTCATAAAACAAATGAAATAACAAATAAACAAATTAAGGTTCCCGTAAAATAAGGTGTAACTGTAGTTTCTGATTACATAACTAAATAAACAAACCAAAACATTAATATAATGAAGGAACTCTATTTATTCCATAAAATAGATGATTATTCCCAAATAAACAAGAGATAAATAACACCTCGACTTTTAGACATGTTGTTTATATGGCATTTCAAAACAAAAGGCTTTTATTTATTGGCTACAGCATAGGTTCTCAACCAATAAAAAATCTTTTTAAAAAAAAAATTGACCAATTGAATTGTACTTAGTTGTCACTTACACAATCACAGTGTATTAGATTACAAAATTACATACATCCCAAACCACATCTTGACCCCCTCCCCCAATTTGACAGGTCGTCGGAATAAAAAAATAAAAATGTGACATGCCTGTCACAGTCTTGAGAGTGTCATTTCTGGCCATCCAGAAGTTCCAATTCTTTAAAAAAAATAGATATTTAATACTTAATATATATACTATACTATATACTACACTATAATATACCATACTTTAATATGGTAATACGTACTGCGAAATGCTAGGCCTCTGAAAGTCCCCATAGTTAGTAGTCGCCACGTTATTGGAAATTTTTATTTCAAATTTCATGAAAATGGTTTATAACATTCCCTGCAAGTTCGTCGTTCAAAACTGGTGCCGAATCAATGTTTTAGAGCCTCCCATCAGAGCCATTAATAATAATAATAATATTTATAATTGACCGCAAATATAGTAATAATATTAATAATTTTAAAAAATACTTAGACCTACTCCCAGAGCTACTCATAGGAACTAAAAAATAATTTATTTTAGTTCTCAAATATGTATATTCTTTATGTTGATTTATTAATTAAATTTTCACTACAGGGTATTTTACAGCATTTATTTATTTATTTATTATTAATTTTTTTTTTCTTGAATTTTATAATTGAGGGCAATTTTTTATTTCTTGATTCAATTCTTGCTTATACAGTATTTAAATATTTGAAGATTAAAAAAAATATATATCATTTCTATTACCGAATTTTTCATTGGGGCCATTTTTACCTACCTGTCTTTTGGGGCCATTTTTACCGGGGCCATTTTTTCCAGGGCCATTTTTTCTGGGGCCATTTTTTCCGGGGCCATTCTGCTATAATTCGTAACAATGTTGTCACACTATCGCATTACTGCCGCAATATATTTTGACGGCACGTAAATTCGATTGAACATGTGCGTTTTGAGAACGAAACGTAAAATGGCGATAGTGAGGATAATAAAAATACCACCAAGTACTCGGCAGACTTTGGCTTGGAAAGGGCCTTGGTTTATTTTTTTTTTTTAAGTATTTGAATTTGCTGGGGGCCCTGACTTTAGCGAGCTGCAAGTGTTGTGACTGAGCACAGTTCAGTGACTAACCTTTTATTATATATGAATGTGTTTTTTGTAACATATAACTCGGTTGAACAAGTGAATTGTCATCGTCACAAATCGTTATTGATATCTATGCAACCGTAGATAAAGTGCCTTGCCCAAGGACACAAGCGATTTGCACAGCGAGAGTTTCGAACCCCCAACCTCGAGGTTAGGAGTCCAAGCCACAACCGATACGCTACCCGCTTCTACATTCAGGGATCCTCGTAAATAAATTAAATCTTCTTACCGAGTCTATTCAGGAGTTCATACTCTATGAAGCCATGTCGAATTACTGTAGTTCTAAAAACTCGATATGATTCTCCTCGTGTAGTGGTGAAATGATTGGTAGGAACAGGGCCGTGACGTGAACGCTCCTTTCTTGATCCCAATAAAATAAATAACTAGATGCTTTTTATCAGCGAATTCTCTATATGAGGCTTAGGAAGTGAGAAATTCGTGAGAAATAAGTGTAGCGTCTCTACTTTGTATTTAAACAGCAATATTGAATTTGTATATAGGCCTATAATCTTTTATAGTCGACATAATTTGTAGTCTATCTATTGGATTTTAAGATTAAAAAACATGGGGCATTAGAATATAAAAAGGACTCGTCATAATCCTAAATGTGTAGGCCTACAATATTCATTTTTAAGTACAAGGAACATTTTGTCAGATGAGTCTAACTGATTATTTTTGATCTTTTTTTTACTTCCATAAGAGAGTGCGGAAGTGGCTTGTCCAGACGACGTAATTAAGCTAATTATTTAATGAGGTACTTGGTGGCACTCAACTTAATATTAGGTCTATGGTTAATTCAAGGTGCAGTATGTAGGCCTACAATCTTCATTTTCTAAGTACAATGATTATTCTGTCAGATCAGTTCAATTGATTTTTTTTCCTTTTTTACTTTGACTGGGTTGACCTTGCGTTCAACCTGTCATAGGCTAGAACTTTCATTTTCAACTTTTATAACTAATTGATTTATATGTTTTTATATTACAACTTTCATTTTAATCTCCCTTAAATTAATTTTGTGCCATGGTTTAAAACAATATTTTTAATAAAGTTTGTGTATACTTGTCAAACTTACATAAACGACGGACATCAGAAGATTCATCTTGTACGGTATTGTTTGAACCTACGACCTTTTTTGTAATCATCAATTTGTTATGTAAATTTGTTTGACTTTAAAAATCGACGAAAAATCTGAAGGAATATCTCTGACGGTCACTAAAGACCCCATGTTGATGTATTCTTTGATCTTACGATCTTTCTTGTATCAATCATAGAAGTTTAAATTTTTAAAATAGATATAACTTAATAAAAGACAGATAATCAAATTAACCGAAGTCCATACTAATTAAACATAGGCCTATCAATGAAGGAACATTGAAAACTTTGACCTAATGGTACCACACCCAGAAAGTTAGTATAACTATTGTATGGTGACCAACACTTGTAACAGGCCTATATATACTTTGCATATAGTGAATACACGAAATGGGAAGTCTCCGTGCAGAATATAGCTTCGTATCTCTAGTCTAAAATACCAAGCCAATAGAATTTAATGCAACATCAACAAGTACCCCAGTTATTTACGGCAGGCCTTTCGGACTCATTCCAACACCTAGTATTTAAACGCCGTACGGTAAAGGCTCCAGTCTACCTACATTCTAAGTGTTTATTAATATGTAAGTTTTTCATGGTTTTTCTTACTTTTTTTTTTGTTTTTTTTTGTTATCTCTGTAAATACCATTTCTTATTCTTCATGTGTAAGATCTCCTAAATTTTGTTACATTAACGTTGATAAAGATAGCAGGACCTATCGAAATATCCTTTTGATATATTTTAATAAATCTGTGTTCCACAAGTCAACCTTCATGATTGTACATCGTTTTTTTTCATTGTTTTTACATTTGAACTTGGTTCTGATTGGTTAATACCATTTCTTATTCTTTATGTACGGTATGTGTCAAATCTCCCAAGTTGTGTTACTTTAACGTTGATAAAAATAGCAGGACCTATCGAAATATCCCTTTGATTTTGTTACATTTTAATAAATTTGTGCTCCGCAAGTCAACCTTTAATGATTGTACATCGTTTTTTTTTAATTGTTTTTACATTTTATTTCACTTGGAGCATACATCCACTCTTCAATTAAAGATGAAGACCAAACGTTATGACCAGCTTGAGCAGGGCCTAGGCTAGCCCGACGTTCAACTGCAGCATCGCTAATGAACCGTCAATGCCAAACCAAGACAGTATATAGATACTGGAACAGTCTTCCACCCCATGAACGAAATATTATTATTATTATTTTGTTTCGTTAAATAGTTCAGTATTTTTTCTAACCATGCCCCTTTAGGGGCTTCGTACTAATAGGCTGAAGCTTATCCAAGTTTCAAGTAGCGTGAAGAGGATAAGAGTGTGATGCTGGTACACCGCATGTCACTCACAGTAATTATGCTGGTACCCGTTGATACTGGACTGAAGCAATGTATATAAAGGATTGAAAACCCCAACCTTAAGTTTTGGAAATCAAACCATTCCCACTGCGCCAACCACCTCCTTATTGTCACTGTCGTATAACTCAGCTATTGAAATATTGGTATATATGATTACATATTTGTGTTCTAAAATTGAACATTCAATGTTTAGATGAAATTGAGTATTAGTATTAATTTAATGTTTTTCATTCGATTTAGTTTTCCAGATTTCTCCAATTCCTAACAACAATGGTTTTAATACTGAAACTTCATTTGCTGTGGGCGGCAATTGTTACTTTGTCAATATCATCACCGTTATTACAGAACACAGCATCCATTGAAACCCGGAGTGTCAATAATCATGATTATATGAATGATGAGGGCTGGGACAACTCAGAAAGATACAGAAATAGTACGACAAATCCACCCAATGCTGTTACACAAATGATAGTATCAAGAACGGGGTACTTCCTTCGAATTGGTCCCGATGGACTGGTTAGCGGTACAAGTAACTGTAAAGACGAATATGGTAGGTAGGCCTATTTGTTTCCATATCGCAACGACAAGTATTGGACTTACAACCGAATGATGCGAGTTCAGGCCAATGCTGGTTTCGTTGGTTTTGTTTCGTCGATAAGATTTCCTCTGTCTTTCTTAATACCCTCCTTACAATCTTGTGCCAAGTCTTGTGCTGCTAAAAGCTGGTGTACGGTAAGAATGGCCCCGGAAAAAATGGCCCCGGAAAAAATGGCCCCGGAAATAATGGCCCCGGAAAAAATGGCCCCGGTAAAAATGGCCCCATATGACAGGTAGGTAAAAATGGCCCCAATAATCAAATTCTGAATTAAAATTGATTTTCTTGAGTCATTATATGCATTTTTTTATCTTAACTAATTTAGTTTTTAAAAGGAATCTCCCGAATAATCAAATTCTGTAACACACAATTGATCCACATGCTTTAACTACTGTTTATTTGCATTTTTTATAACATGTAAAGTTAATTCATTTGATATTTAACAAAAGTGAAGTTTGTGGTTATCTATGAGTTGCATATTTTGGTAAAGTACTGTATACTGTATGTCATTCCTCTACTTTGTTAGTGAAATAACGTTTTTATCTTTTATTTCTACTATCAAAAAATGTTATTCAATGGCCATTGTTTTTCAATTATCTCTCAGAACATTATTTGCATCTGCTGTAATTGTTAAAAAACAAATGCTTTTAAAGAAATTTAAAAAAAAATCACATATTGATCTCA